GAATCCGTCCCAGAAAACAGCGGGTGGCCATTTTTTTTTAGCTGGCGGCCATTTTGAAACCGCCGATCAGCTGTGCGAAAATCTTCGTTTTGTGATAATTGGTTAGCGAAGCACGTAAGCGATCATTGCAGTGAAAAAACCCCATAGGAAACATCGTTTTGCGATCGCTTTTGCGATTGCAAAAACTTCTTCGTTATGCGATTTCTCCATTACACGAAGCGCTTGTCTTGCCAGGCACCACTGTAATTTGCTTAAGGCCAGTGGTTTAGGTATTTGGCTGCAGAGCCAGAGGTTGGGAGTCTGATTCCTCACTGTGCCTCCTAGGGGAAGAGCCAACCTGTGCACCCCTGGGCAGGCTGCGCGGTCTCAGAGCTGCCCCTAGAAGAAAGACGGTGGTTACGCACTTTTTGAAAGGCTTAGAAAGGGTTGCCATAAGTCAGAATTGACTCGGAGATGTCCAGTTATTCTTATTTAAGGTCACTTAGTGAGTAATGTGATCTGGCTGTTCCACATAGGAGTGGAGGACTTGAAAGTTCTCCATGTGGTTCAGTGAGGAAAGGACCTGTGCAAAATGGAAATTGACACATACCTGGTTCAACCCAAAAATAGTAGTAGCCACCTTCCCCCTTTAAATTATGTATATAAAGACAGACCGTTGTGAAGAATCAAACAGTACTTCAAAATAAGCCTATTCTGGATCCTGGATATAACAGGTGTGAAAATATATGCTATTTGGGAAGCCCAACAAACTGGAGCATAGGCTTGCGGTCAAGGCAAGATTCGATGATAGAGTGAGTACTCCTTACAAGCCATTGTTAGGGTAGAAGATAGCAAAAAGACCCCGAACTGCTTTGAAGAATGCCGTATTCTTGTTCCTAGGCCAACGTGGAACATTTGACTGAAAAGATGAAAACCAACATTCAGCGTGGTTTAGTGCTGAGGTGAGTTTTGAGTCTCTGCTCTGCGGATGATGTACATTGCAAAATTTGCTGGAATTGCGGTAGGAATTGTGCTTTGGGGTTGGGGCAGAGAGGGAGAGGGAGAGATGCCATTTTGAAGAGCAAGATCACATGCCTTCCGCAGGAAGGGGCTTGTAGTTCAGTGCCTGGTACTTTCTGTTACTCTAGGAGGGCTGGGGAGGCATCTCTCTGCCTGAGCACCCCCCCAAAGCTCGCAGAGAGAAAGAGAGGAGACTGTGCTGGACAAAACGGGTGATGAAGTTTGTTTGGTACATGCAGAGTCAAAGCCAGGTTCAAAGACTTGCCTGGAAAAGTACTGTTGGCTGGAGCCCCCCCCCCAAAAAAAAATCTGGCAGGAGCACAGATTTGCCTGTTCTGCTACCTTGTTTGAGTGGGCAATCAGGCAAGCAGTGGGGCCAGCAAAGCCTGTGCTCCTGCTGCAGACTGGGTGAACAGCCAAACTGGAGGAGAGGGGTGTGCACCAGCTGGTGAGTGGAGGGGCCCAGCTGGGGAGGTGGGGGGAAGGCACCTGTGGTGCCACATGTACAAACCCGCACGAACCTCCAAACTGAGGTTCTTGCCCATATCTAATAAGGGGATTAGGGAGTCCTGCTGTATTTGCACCTTTAAGCAAAACTACTTACCTTGTAAGATTGTGTTGAAAATATCTGCTGTTGTTTTTTCTATAAATCTAGGCAGGCATAGATCTGAGCGGTGCTTTGATGCTCAAGTACGCTCCTGCATACCTCAAACAATATCATTTGACCAATTAAACACACAAACCATATATATATATATATGTTATACAGGAATGAAAACTGCAACGAGAATTACACAACGGACTTCATTTACCAGCTGTACTCTGAGGAAGGAAAAGGAGTCTTTGACTGTAGAAAGAATGTCTTGGGTCACATGCAGCAGGTAAGCAGGGATTAGAAATTCTCCAGATTGAATTCAAAGGCAATCAGCCGTTCCTTTAACCCAGTGATGACAGTGGCACTTGGAACCCACCCAGGAGAAAACCTGTCACACACATGGTTTCTGTGTCCACTGGAGGGGGGGCTGCTTTTGCAACTTCTACAGCGAGATACCATCTAAACTCTTGCTGCTGAATTAATATTAAATAATTTTAATTGGGCAAGAAAGTACAAGGACGGACATAAAAAAAATGAAACTAAAATTTGCAGCTGATTCATATCCTTGCTCCATCTGCCTTGGGTGGTTTAGACTCGCATCTTGAGTCTTTGGTAATCAAGAGCTTGCAGGAAGATGTGTTAAAGCAAATAAGAAGACCACCTCAGTGGGAAGGTAACAGCGTTCCATGTCTAGTCGCACTGGCCATGTGACAACGGAAGATTGTCTTCAGACAAACGCTGGCTCTGTGGCTTGGAAACGGGGATGAGCACTGCCCCCTAGAGTCGAACACGACTGGACAAAAATTGTCAAGGGGAACCTTTAACCTTTACCTTTTAATTTTAATTGGGCATGAAAGTACAAGCACAGACATCAAAAACATGAAACTAAAATTTGCAGCTGATTCAAATCTTTGCTCCATCTGCCTTGGGTCGTTTAGACTCACATCTTGAGTCTTCGGTAAAAAGGATGAGCTTGCATGAAGATGTGTTAGAGCAAATAAGAATCTTAAAGGCTTTCACAGCCGGGATCTGAGGGTTGTTGTGGGTTTTTCGGCATTTTCAGAGGACTGGAGTAGGAACAGAGCATGGACAGAGTTCCTACTCCAGTCCTCCGAAGATGCCGGCCACAGAGACTAGCGAAACATCAGGAAGAACAACCTTCAGAACACGGCCAAAGAACCTGAAAAACCCACAACAACCATCAAATGAGAATCATTAGATGCTCTGGAAGACAAAGTTTCTTTTTTTAGGAAAAATAACCTGTTTCAGCCCAAGACCGCTCTGTAATCATTTGCTTATATTGCCGATTTTGGGTCCCATTAAGTTGTCTGGGTGTACCTGTTCGTCCTGGAACATAAAATTGTTATTCAGGACAATTTGTACATAACAGCATCTCTGTCCATGCCAAAACGCGAGAGGGTAAATGGTACACATCTTTCACGCTTGCAAATCCAGATCGTTTCCCAAATACTGAAACGTCTGCTTCCCGCTGAATTTTACAGGGCGGCGCACCGTCCCCCTTTGATAGAAATTTTGGAACAAAAATCTCGGCAAAAGCTGTGCTGTGGCTCTCTAAGAAGCTCCAGGAAAGCTATCGAAGAGGTGAGGAACTATGCGTGTCACTTTTCATCATCTTAAGGAGTTTCAATACTTTGGTTTCTAGCATCCCCAGAAAAAAATTGGCAGCATATGAAACACCGAAACATGCTTGTATCTGATAAACCCCAAAATGTTTCTTCGTACAGAACACGAGTATACTCTTTCGTTTAGCGGTCACAGTGAGGCTGGAGACATATCCATTTGGTGTGTCTCGCTGGTATTCTAACTTGCCAGTCTCATGCCTGCAGTTTTCAGGGGTGTAGTTATTATGGAATAAAATAGAGGTTGATAATATAAATGGTCCCACCTCCTTGGATAAAAAGCTCACAGGTGGGCACGGTATGGGAAAACTGGCTGCTGTCCATTCCCAGCCTGTTGGGAGTCATATCAGTTTGAGTAATCGTGGGCCTGCTAATTTGTCATCACGTTAGTTCAGTAGATCAGTGGCTACAAAGCTTCTTTTTGGTTTGTTAATTAGTCCCTGCTTCACATGAGTAAAAGAGTCTGTGCATACTTCACTGTTCTGCCTGTATTTATGTCGTTTCCATACAGCAGATTAAAATACTCCTTAGTTACCCAGGTTACTTATATTTATTTTATTTCAGTAAAAGCAAGTCTGGCATCGTAAGCATGCTTAGGCTGGGATATGGGCAAGATCTACAAACTCTGATTGGACTGACTTCTTTCTAAGTCATGGGTCTCCACATACTTGACTGTGAGGGCCACATTGGATATTTCCAACATTTTTGAGGCCCTAAAGAACAGGAACGTGTGCATACGTGCAACCACACAACCCCCTGCCTCCCATGCACATGAAACACACACACACACCCGCGCACATGTGCACACGAGCTGAAGGGAACGGGCCAGATAAAACATCAAGGCAGGCCAGATGTGGCCCGTGGGCCGTAGTTTGGAGACCCCTATTCTAAGTGAACAATGGATACAATTGGCTGCAGACTTTTTATAGAACAGCTAGTTTGCCATGATAGTTAATGTACTCACTTCTTTAGTTTTCAGAACAGTTTATTGAAGAGTGCTAAAAATTACGATGCCAGAATCCTTCCCCTCTCAACTCCCCCCTCAAGTCCTACAAATTTTGCACTAGAATTTGTAAATGGATAGAAATTCACAGTGTTCTTCTTTGTTTTTTCTTGGTGGCCGCACGGATCACAGATGAAGGTAATGTGTTTTATTCTGTTGTAACTTCATCAGAGTCAAGGTACAGTTCCCAAAAACATTTTAATTAAAAAAAAAACTTTGAACAAGTGCTGGTTAGCTGTTATCCAAAGACCTGTTGTCTCTCAGCCTAAATAGCGAGATGCAAATTGTGCCCTAACATCGTTCATCACTAATTCACATTGTTGTTCTCCATTGCTAATAGTAACAAAGTTTGGTTAAACACCCTAACAAGGAGTTCTTTAACTTCCATCCTCCCATAAAGTATTCTCCATTTGCTCCATATTGCTGCTTGGCTCTTTGTCTGACTAAACCCAGAAATCGTTTTCCCCACCCTTCTCTCTCTTACTTTAAAAGGGAGGATATTTGCCAACACTGAGGACTCTGTCTGTCTTCTGGGTATGCGCCGGAGGAACCTGATTTTCCAACCTGTGGCCCAACTGAAGGAAGAAACAGATTTTGAGTACGTAAAAAAATTGCAAAAGTGCTCATACTACGACAGAGGGGGAATAGGTTACAGCTGGCTGGATAGCCCAGCACGTTTGGCATTTGGGTAGGGAGTTTGATCCCTTACTATGCCTCCTGGGGGAAGAGCCAGCCTGTATAGCCTCGGGAAACCTGTGCAGCTCCAGGGCACCCCAGAAGAAGGGAATAGCAAACCACATCTTGAGTACATCATACCTAGAAAAACCCAGGAAAGTGTCTCCATAAATCATAGTAGACTTGGCAGCACGTCATAATCATTACGGAGGAGGAGCAGGATCTCTTCTTGTTCAGAGTGCCAAAGTGTAGGACACATAACAATGGGCTCAAGCGACAGTGAGCCAGATTTAGGCTAGCAGGAAAAACTTCCTGACTGTTAGAGCAGTACAACAATAGAACCTATGACCTCAGGAGGTGGTGAGCGTTCCAGCGCTGGAGGCATTGAAGAGGAAAAAAAACACAAAAAAACGGACCACCACTAGTCAGATCTGTTTTCAATTTGGATTCCTGCCTTGAGCAGGGGGTAAGGATTCAGCGGCTTTATAGGCCCCTTCCAAGTCAATTATTCTGATTCTTATTAGAACAGATTGCATAGTGTGCAAATGGTGGCATTGGCCAGCATCCTTGTGGACACTGTAGTGAAAAGGTGTAAGGAACCTGTGACGCTGCCTGTCATGTCCAACTTCCACGAACCCCAAACAGTGTGTCCAAAGGCTCCAGAAAAGGAGCTGCAATGCATCAAAGCACTGGAGAGCCATTAGGTTCCCCCTTTCTGGTGAAGACTTTGTGTAAAATCAGTTCTGCTTTAAAATCCGTGCCCTTCAACCCTGTTGCGATTATAGAGCCAGCCACAGCCAGTACTCCCATCACTAAACGCGACACTCTTATTTAAAGTCTTTAGCATGTGTTGTGTTGTTATTAATGCCGGTTCTCTTAATATGCTTCTCGGCAAGTTCAGTGTAACCAGTTCGTTGCATGCGAGGAATCCAGACCAGCTGGAGACTGCAAGTCCCCCTAAGCAATGGGCTTGGGCAAGGACTAGGATTATAGCTTTATCTGAAAGGGGCATGGAATGGAATTTAGATTCCAGGGATGCCCTCTATCAGGAGGCTTAAAGGAAGCGATAGAGCGAAATGCGTGACTTGTATATAGCATGCGTAACTTTTCTGGTTGGTGCTGCCCTGAAGTCTTGCGTGGCAGTGCCTAGACGTACTTCTGCCTGAGCAGTGGCTGATCTTGCGATAACAGCAGACGATATATATTCAAGCGCAAAAAGGGCAACTTTTGTATTTCCGCAGAAGGAAGCATTGCATTCTCTTACGATACTGTTCAGACAGCCAAAGGATGTGCATTGGTTGACAGCATACTGCTGTGCAGAGCTGTCTGTATAAACCAGCTGATCTTTTCTTTCCCCATTTGAACTGCCCCATGTAAATGGTTCATGCCCAATGCTTGTTTCAAGTAGCTATAACTGCAGTTCTTGACATGATGCATAACCCTATCGTAAGCTTAGATGTTTTTTTCTCCTCCTTTCTTGGTCAACAGGCACCGAATTCCCAAGGAGCAGTGGTGGCTGAAGCTACGTCCCCTGATGAAAATTCTGGCCAAATACAAGACGAGCTACGATGTTTCAGATTCAGGCCAGTTAGAGCATGTGCACAGACCAGACCCCATACAAGCCTGAAGCCATGTTCCCAAGACCTCGTACTGTTAAAAGTTGTCATAGCTCTCTATTGTGTGTCTACAAGGCTTTAGAATATTTGTTACGGCTTCTTTTTTTTTTGTAACATCTAAGTTATTGTACCAGCACTTTATGTGGAACAACAAAGCAGCCATTGCCGAAGTTCTCTACCTGGTATTTGTCTTAGGCCTGTTCAAAATACACCAAACACACACACAGAAACCACCCCAGCGCCTACTTAACAGAGAATATCCAAATTACCAATGTGTTCCTTAACAGTAACCTGTCCAAAACTGGTTCTATGCACTCCGTGTGATGGTATTCATCTCCTGCACTTTTACCAGATAGTGTTTGCACTCAAAAGCATATTTCAAAGGCTTAGTTTTGTGTCATACTGAAAGAAAACTTCTGTATGCTCCTGCTGGAATAAAATACGGTATTACAGATAAGGTCTGGAGTCCTTTGTTCTTTGTTCAGTCCTAAGCCTGGAACAACCTCATCTCTATCCAGTGGCCAGAAGAGAGTCCAGGATCTCACTCTAGCTTAAAATGCTAGAGTGAGGCTTGTTTGAAGTCAAACCCCACTGATGATGACCGGGGATAGTCTTGGCAGGCAAGGCAGTCCTCCTCATCATGCAATACAGCCATTGCCACTTTGAAAACACCAGCCCTCCAGTTAACTGCACAAGGAACCCACTGCCCAGTTAGATGCAGCTGTAAAAACCCTGCCTTGGAGTCCAAGCAGTTGGCAGGGACATGACAAAACCTATTCTGAAAACTAATATTTTCTCCCACGTTGGAAATCCTTGTGAGGACGATTTAATACTTCAGCCATATGCTAGGTAACTAGTAGGCCTGGGAATGCAAACTGGGTACTATGAATGCCATCCTGGCCTTGAGCAGGGGGTAAGGATTCAGCGGCTACGTTAATTCGTTCCGCAAAAATCGCTGCAGAACGAAAACATTGCTATGCGATATTAAAAAGCCCATAGAAACACAATGAAACCCCTTCAGTGCGTTCCTATGGGCTTAAAACTCACAGTTCAGCGAAGATCCTCCATAGCGCGGCCATTTACGCTGCCTGGTAAGCAAGGAATCCGTCCCTAAACACAGCGGGCGGCCATTTTGTTTATCCAGCGGCCATTCTGAAACTGCCGATCAGCTGGCCGAAAATGGGGGCTTTGCGATGATCGCTTCCCTGCGATCATCACAAAGCGAAATTCCCTCATAGGGAACTGTGTTGCAAAGCGATTTTGTCGTAAAACAAAGCGATCGCTATGGGAGGCACCACTGTACAATGAAATGACAACAATAAATCCTGCAGATGTATATCTAGCACCGAAACGGAGGAATGACAACAATAAATCCTGCAGATGTATATCCAGCGCCAAAACAGAGGAAAAGATGACACAGTTGGATCCTCCCGGACATGCCCTTCCATCAAGTAGAAACACATGTTCCAAGTAGGCCTAGGTTGTCTTCTGACTTTAAGGAACGTTATGTTCATGAGATGAAATGTACAAAAGCCCCAAGCTAGTTCAGAAAGAGACAAAGACGGGCAATGTAAACACACGTCATAGCCAGCTTACATGTTTGCAGTTACACCTGGCGGATTCTTGTCCAAATATTTAAGTTGTAGTACAGAAGGTCAAAGTTGCTTGCGTTACCATTCAAAACATTTTATTAACACCATGATTTAAGATAACTCACTTGACAGCTTAATTTCGTGCCTCTCCAAAACATTTGGATACTATTACGGTGTTGCGCATGATCTAGCTAAAACTGTGTCCAGGTAGAACAAGCATCTCTGGTTAGAACAAGGGCTTCCGTGGCTACTCCTGACTTGAGCTGGACTAGAGCTGTCATGTAGACCTTAAGTTTGGAAAAAACCCAAATCCTTTTTCCATGGGCAGTTGCAGAGTCATGGAAACAGCTGCATCTAGAGCTGTCATGTAGACCTTAAGTTTGGGGGAAAAAACCAAATCCTCCTTTTTCCATGGGCAATAGGAGAGTCATGGAAACAGCTGCACCTCATGGAGTCAATGAGGTCTCAGTTACACAACCCATACCTTGATCATTAGCCCCTGCAACTGAATTTTACACTGCGGTACTGGCCGTGGAGAAGAACAGTCGGGTTCAGGCCTAAGAGTTTCTTATGAAAGACACAGGATGGACTCTTCCATAAAACCATGATGGCAGGTTCGACGCTCCCTGAAAATGGCACCGTGCTGACAGCTCCTTGCCCTGATAGCACCCGGGCACGGAGGGAGGTTTCAGAGTTTCAACTTTGGTTGGTCGCCCCATGAATGGGTTTGATGTTGCCGAAGTCAACCCAACAGCAGACGTTATTGAATAACCCACGAAGGGTCTTTGACAGTGTCCGGGTTTTCTGGTCCAAGGATGGTCAATCCTTTTGTGCTCTTCCCAGCAGCCAGGTACCTAAAAGCAACAAAACCAACGACTTACTAGGCCATCCATCGGGGTTGGGGGAACCTTTTGCAGGTCAAGGGCCACCTCCATTCTATTACACAGACACACAAACAGTGACTAAATGCTCCAGTTGCTTCTAATACAAAGACACTCTAATCGAGTTACCAGGCTGTTTTGGCTTGTTGGCAAGAGGAAAGGCTAAGGCAATGTTTAATGCAGGAATACAATGAGCAACCTCCTCTGTGACAGGTTATTATGGGTTTCCTCCTGTACCCCAGGCAATAAATACAACAGACCTGCTGAAATCAAGGGAACCTGGGTTAGACCTGATTAACAAGTCCTGTTGATTTCAATGGGTTTTACTTTGTAAACTCTTAAATTTACATTCAAGCTAACTGGATATACACCAAGTTTTAAAGTTCATTGGATTCAGTAGCTCCTTGCTATACATAATTTAATACTGAAGATTAAATGCATCATGGGATGAATATGCCTCACTTCCCTCTTGTTGGCTCTGCAATGCCTCCTAGAAACCCGGCCTTTCTCAGAAAGGGATAGGAACTCACTTGGCGGCTGCATCAATCAGGTTCTCCTTGGAGACGGCAAAGAGATGTTCCCGGTGCCTCTGTTTCACCTCGTCTGAGATCCCGTACAAAAAGTTAGTCATCCCTATGAAGGGAAATCACATGAATCTTAGGAGAAATAGCAACACATGGCAACTAAT